CGTTGGTATGAAGCCCTAGTAGTCTGCAACAGTTGGAGGAGGTGTATGGGCAAAAAAGTTACATGTCGTACTAGTTCTAGTAGGGGTTCTTTCTTACATTGGTGCCGAGCTCATGGCAGTTGGAGACACTTCAGAGGAGAGGAGACAGTGGGGCGACGTGATGAAATGACGGATTTAGTGGGCCATTCTTTTCTGGAGGAGGTCGGCGTTGGTTGTCGAGCAGTGGATTTGGTATTCAGGCTTCTCATGTTTGGGCTATCTTATGAGGTTGCTGACTACTGTGTGTAGAGTTATTAGATATGGTGGAGCTATTTCAGATTTTGGTTGGCGTCGGATATTTGGCTACCCAGCACTTGGTCACATTGTGTGCTGGTCACATTGTGGATGTGAGATTGGATCCGATTGCACGATTGGGATTCAGAGGCTCTTTTGGCTATCAGTTGAGGGCTTCTGAGTTTGGTCTGAGCAGGTATGTCACTTTGGACTCTTGACAGGTAAAGAGTATTGATCAGATCAGTGGGATATCGCAGCGGGTGGAGGGTGATGCTACTCCACATTGGGTGGAGCTTACTCCACACACTTCAGGTCATTCTGTATTATTTGGGATTCCAGCTGAGGTGGCACAGCGTGGGAGTTATTTGGATTCGGATGCGGATGATGAGTTGGTAGATCTGAGTGTAGCTGGTGGATATAGCTTGGATACAGTCATTGGTTCACCTCAGGTGGAGGTGTTTGGATCATGTAGGATTGGGGTCGTTCGTGATGCTGTTAGCTGCACATTGGATGTCTGTATTGGTGAAGAGTTGAGGACTCTTCTTTTGGATTGAGGGCCCTTGGAGGCCATTTTGTGAACTACGTGAAGGCTTAATTCCTTGGGCAAGAGGATACGTAGGCAGTTAGTTTGATACAGCCGATTTGGTGAGTAGACACTGTTGGTTGGGGTGAGTGTTCGCACTCCCGTTTGGGTCTCAACTTGTTATGGATGGAGTTCGTTGTCATGAGTCTATTGCCATGGTGTACTGGACGCAACAAGTGAGGCATTTGGTGTGGTCGGTGTCAGCTCAGTTTTTTGGGAAAAACGCTCGCCGAGGTGGAGAATTGTAGATTCGAAGTGGAGAATTGTTATTTTGGCAAGCGAATTGGCGAAGAGTCGAAGGAGGGCTTCATGTTGTTGCGCGGTCGATCGTATGTGACGCGACGGTCGACCGCGATCGTGCACATAGGCTGGGAAGGCATTTGGATGCGCGGCGGTCGACCGCGGCTGGCCCAGAAATTGGATTTGGCTCTGGATGTTTGGCGGTCGACCGCGCGTGGCGCGGCGGTCGACCGTGGTTTTTCCAGAGACTTTGGTGAGCCTCGTAGACTTATCGCGGTCGACCGTACATGGCGCTGCGGTCGACCGCGATGCGGGTTTTGGGCTGAGTTCTGTTTCTAGACCCGTTTCATTTTGGAGTTGTATAAATACCCAAAGGGTGTTTTTTAGGGTAAGTGAGCAAGGGTTTGAGCTGAATAGAGAGGGGTTTTGTTGGGCTTCTATTCTAGGAGCAATTGGAGAGATTGAGAGTTGATTTGTTGTGGGTTTTGATGTGAGATTTGTAACCCTAGTTGTATCCTCTTGATTTCTAATAGTGAAAACTCCCCCCTTCCTTGCCCCGTGGACGTAGACCATTGCCGAACCACGTTAAAACTGGTGTTGATTGTTTGTGCTATTGATTTGGTTGTGTTGATTTACATCTCTCGGCTATTTGGTTGGATCTCGGCATATATATAGGGGTTCCTCCCCAACACTCAGATCAGGTGTAGTCCTAGGGATGGATGATTCGTTTGGTGGGGTTGGTGGTGAGGCTGATGAATCCATTGAGGCGGGAATTGAGTCACTACTTGTCGTTTGCTTGCAGGGAGGACTACCTTCTGGACTTAACTCCGAATTAGGAGGTGTTGTAGCTAGATTGGGCACCGGCTTCTCCTTGACACACCGGCTATCACAGCAACGCCTTGACACACCGGCTATCCAAATTTGCTAGTTGCTATCAATTTTTTAAATATTCAATAATCAACTATGTATAATATACTGAAAACTCCTAAAATTTTCTAAAGACAGCTAGAAGTATGAACAATCTTCCATGAAATTATCTTTTGATCAAACTTAAACATAAAGGCAGTTAACTTAGAAGTACTTAATGAAGCAACCAAATTGTATAATTTAGCAACCTACATAACCACCCTTCTCTATTGTATAATGAACAGTAAACAAAAAATAACCAATAATTTAAGAATCCTCTTATCAAAATAATTATAGTAATAACAATAAAATAATCCTTTTCAAACTTCCTCCAAAAGCTGCAATTTTGCATCCCAGTACCAAAATAAAAAGATTACTAAAAACCAAAAAAGAATTTTTTTTTTTTGTTAATCACTTAAAGCATAATCTATACTACTATAAAAGAGGGCTCGGAAGTTAAAATTTTTAGTTTTCATTTTTGCCCACTCAAATTTTGATAAATTTTAACTATGTCATTATCTATAATTAATATTTTATTAAATAAATATAACCACTTATTAATGATGCACCTCCTCACCTTTCTAAATAATTATTATATTAATAATGTTATAACTATTAATTATTTAATAATAATATACTAAAATAATTTATAAAATAAGTATATACAATTATTAATAATAACTAATTAAATTGTTACTATAATAATTATTTATGAATTATAATAAGAATAATTAAAATAATAGTATACATAAAATAATATGGTACTAAATATTACTAGGAATTATACTATAATTCCATGAGCAATTAAATAAATAGAATAAATATTTAATTTCATAAACAATATAATTATTTTAATAAAATTACATAAATTATGAATTATACTATTCATTTAATATTATATTATTAAATAAATTAATTAATATTTTTTTGAATATTTTTTAAAATATTATTATATAGTACTGAATAATTTATACTTACTAATGACTAAAAAATAATTTTTTATATAAAAATATTTCTAATATTAATAATAATACGATTAATTGTGAATAATAGTACAATAAAAATATATAAAATATTTATAGTACTAAATTATCAAAGAGCACAATTCAAAAATTAAACTAGATAAATATTTTATAGTATATAGGTAATATAATTATTTTAATAGTATTACTTAAAGTAAGAATTATAATATTAAAGGTAAATTATAGTAAACACCCATGAACTTTTAGCATTTTGCAGGAAATAGACTTTATGACTTTTGAAACATTAAACCCCAAATAACTTGTGTAGAAAGCCCCCAATATCTTTTAGATAAATTACACTAAACCTCCAATAAATTTCAAATGCCTTTTTATGCCATTTATTGGTGGTGATTAATAGGGGGTTATCTACAAATTTTAGAAAGTTATTGGGGTTTTCTTTGAAATAGAAAACTTATTAGGGATTTAGTGTGATTTGAAAGTACATAGGGGCTCAGGGTTCATAAGGGTTAATTTAGTGTAATTTACTCTATTAAATAATTATAATTAGAAGTAACCATCACAATAGGTTGCTGGTATTAAGTTTAACCATCTAAAGAACATCAGAAAAAAACTAGCAAGATCAATGCAGCTTAGTTAATTTAGAGTTAAGTTAACAACTTTCAAGTTAGAGGAGCATATTTAAGAGAAGTTATAAATTTGATAAACTTATTTAAGAACAATTGTAGATTTGGGGCACTTATTTTAAAAAGTTAGCTCTAGACGATCATTATAATAAAATTATTCAATTATAATAAGTACACAATAATAATTAATTCATACAGTTCTTTCTAAGCAATCTTATTATACAATTTCATTTATTAATACATAATTTTACTATTCAATAAAAAATTTAAAACATAAAACATGTATATTCACGTGCAAAGCACGTGCATTATACTAATATATACTAAATGACACTTGAGTTTTTTAAACATAAGCTAAATATAAGAAGAATGTATAGGCAATAGTTAACTTAGAAATGCTTGATGAATCGACAACACCAGATTGGGGACCAACGGCTAGATTTCTAGCCATTGAGTGGTCCGGTCCTGGTTTTTAACCTGGAATTTTCCCAAACGACTAGATATCTAGCTATTGGGATGGGGTCAAGTCTAGGCTGCCCAAACCTGGACCGGGGTCCGTAGCTCGGAGCCCAGCCTTGTCCAAGCTTGATCGGGCACTAGTGAAGGAGCCTGAGATGAAGCCTGGTTTCCCAATCTTTATTTTTTGACCCGGGTCCAAGCTCGAGCAAAACCGCATCGGGTTATTGGCCGAGCATGCGCCGCGACCTTTTTGCATAGCTCAAGAGCTTAGGATTTTTAAAAAATTATAAATTGTTCATTCACTATTTTTCCTTGATTTCATTTTTCAATTGTATTAAATGCATTATATTCCTCTTGGTTGACCTTCGATTTGATAAGCTAAATACGTACAAATCAGACCGGTTCTTATTTGGACTAAAATGACAAGATTTGGTCTGATCTACCTACTTCACTAAAATATGATAGAATATCATTTATTGCAGGATTTTGTTTGATTTACTTACTGACTAAAACTTGATGGAATTATGATTTCTTTTCTCTATTTTCTTATTTCAATTAGTATGAAAAACTTATTTGGTTAAGAAACATAAAATGTGTACGCTATTTATGGAAAAAAATGTGTACGCTTAACATAGAAAGGGTTTCTTCATTATAAGTAAGTAGATAGCATGAGAGATTTTCCCACCATATTAAGCTAAAGATTTGCTCATGACAGGTAATAATTGGCAGGAGGGATCAATTGTGATTTGAACCATTCATTGAATGTTGACAAGACAATAAATACACATTGATTACTTGACAAATACGAGCCTACCGATTACTCAGATGCCAAAAGAAGATTAATTTCTCATGGATTACATAAGGTCTCCTTTCACATAAAACTGAAGCCAATACTGCAGCAGAAAGAGAGAATAAAAAAAGAAGACAAAAACAATGAAGGCATTTCCTTCTGTCTTTGTTGCTCTCCTCCTCCTCAGTCTCTTCTCAGTTGATGCCACTCTTGAAGAAACATGCAAGGAATTAGCCAAACCAGGGTATGATATAAACTTCGACTTCTGTATGACGACCCTTCAAGTTGTTCCAGGAAGCGATAAAGCCGACAATCTAGGTATGTTAATCCCTAATCTACATCTCTTCAATTCTCGGATATTCAACGTGCGGGTCATGACCTGTTATTATTTATAGGCTAATTGCTGACAGACCTAATATGCTACAGTGACAATAATCTCTACCCTCTAGTTTGTGTGTATGGGTGGTTTTTTTTTTTAAATGATTAAATTGAGATCGATGTACGACAATAATGGAGAAATTAGAGACTTTTGAATTCCCACCTAATTGAAGAGGACCCGGATCCTAGAGAAAATTATCGTGAACCTCTTTTAGTCCACTAAAAGTGGTAAAAATTTGATGTAAGAGTATAATTAGGACATCAGTGCAAAAAGTTAGATTTTAGGGGATATACTCTAAGATCTATGTAAGTTAGAGTATAATTAGGACATCAGTGCAAAAAGTTAGATTTTAGGGGATATACTCTAAGATCTATGTAAGTTAACTAAAGAAACGAAATCGCGCAAGCAATTTCAATGATTTGAGATAGAAATCTCTTAAACGGAAGATTTGAACGACCAATGGTTTCAGATATTAATAATAACAAATTAGTAATGGCTTTTTCCCCCTTTTATCAGGTCTTACCATTATAGCAGCGAACTTAACATACATCAACTTCACGCACAACCAAGCTAAGGCCGAGGAGCTGATAAACGACAAGAACGTGTCCGAGGAGGACAAAAAGAGTCTTGCTGTCTGTCACGAACTCTACGACATGGGCGCTTACACGCTACTTAACGATGTCATTAAGGATCTCGGGTCTCCCCCTATCGATTTTGATAAGTTGAATTCCGATTTGGGTGCTGTATGGGACGATGCTAGCACGTGCAACGATACTTGGAATGAGGGGAAGCAGAAGTCTCTAATGGCTAAAATGACGATTGCCAGAGGTAGGAAGACTGGTACCCTGTATATGACAGCAGGTGCACGTTGTTCGATCTCAAATGCGGCAGGCAATGAGACTTCAAAGCTGTGGCACCAGAGACTCGGTCATATGAGTGAAAAGGGGATGAACTCTAATGGCTAAAGAAGACGACGATGCTTATAAAATTAGCAACCTCGCACTCTCTGTTTCTACTTTGATTCATCACTGACTGCTTGGTTAATTTCTTTGAAGGCTAATGGTGTCAGATGTTTAATTAGCAGCATCCTGCAGTGCAACAGAATGAAGGGAAGCATGTTTGCTTCATGTGGACCTGAGATTCACGGATAATAAAAGTCTCCACACATATAATCTTTGAGAGCTATTCTATTTGCCCATCATAACTATAACTGATAGGTTGGGGGTGGATACCAACCTCCGGCGGCGGAGGAGCTCCGACGAGCTCCAGGATGGCGGCGGCGAGGTCCAGGCGGCGAGGTCCAGGCGACAGGACGAGCTCGAAGCCTCGAGCTCTGCGTTCGTTCGAAGCTGGCGTCGATGGCGAGCTCTGCGTCGATGGCGAGCTCTGCGTTCGCCTGCCCCCTGAACTCTGCGTTCTTTGGCGAACCCGACCTTTGCGTCTGGGTTATTTGCTGGCGACAGGCTGTCGCCAGCTCCTCATCTCCGCTTATATAAACCCCCTCACCTAGGGTTTCGAAGATGCTGATTCTTCCCCCTCCCCTCCGATTCTTTCTCTCTGGCGGCGGCGGCGAACTGCCCTAAAACGCAGCAGCGTTTTCCCCAAATCGCAGTAGCGATTTCGATTTTTCTCCAGCTCTCAAAGGGGTGTTTTGAGGGGAGATTAAAAGAGAGATTAAGAGAGAGAGAGAGAGAGAGAATTAAAGAGGAGTTTGATTGTGGGGTATTTATTCTCAAGTGGGTATTGAAAGGGTTCATACCCTGTTATTATTAACACTGTAGCTACAGTGTTTATTTGAGAAATCCCAGTTTAGGGATCTGCTCCTAAAATTGTAATTTCTTGTTGGATTAATAAGAAATTTACTGTGTGGCTCCCGAGGACGTAGGCAGTTGCCGAACCTCGTAAATCTTGGTGTACTATTCTCTATACCGCGTTTCCGTTGCATTAGAGGATTTAGGCGTTAAATTCCCAAGGCGGCATTTATTATGCGGAGGAGGTAAGTCTTGCGGTATAATACATATTTTCAATTTAAATGTATCTGCACGAAATATGACATTTTGGAATTATTAATTGAGCATAAAAATAAGCTCATTTTAAAAAAGATTAATTGGTATTAATGGATAAAAACAGTTGGCTATGTTGTTGGAGAAAAGATAATTTTACCGTAATAAATAGTTTCACGTGGACTAGTGTCATGAATAGTAAGGGGTTAAATTGCTTCACATCTTATTGAGCTTTGAATAGTTTTTTTATTTTCTTTGGCTTTATTAGTAAGTAGATAGGTTGAAGAGAGAGATTATTGCACGTGAATATGAATCTCTAGAAATAAATTAATGTTAGCCAACATTAATTATACCTCCCTTAGAGCCCAGGTAGAGATCACCGGGTTGTGTGCGCATCCGAAGTGGTTTTGTCGACGCCCGTGCGAGTAGTAGGCATGCATCCGAAATGGTTATATATACGGCTAATTAATGATCATCATTTTAAGTAGGTTAGAATTAATATAAAACTATAATCATTGATCCTCATTCGGAGGAGTTTTTGTATAGTTAGAGAAACTAAATTTAAGATGATATCAAAACGACTCATATTCAAATCCCACCGATTACGAATTAAATACAGATTTTTTAAAAATTAACATTAAATGATGATGTAAAATTAAGGATGGATTTTCGAATGGTTAAAGGAACTAAATTTAAAAAAGTACTTATTCCTAATAATGATGTAAAGTTAAGGGCGTGCACTTCAAGCAATATGTTCTGTGCAACCCTAAGATTTTCACATGGTTATAACGAGGAGCGTGTTTAAATAGAACCGGTTATTTACAATTTTTTTAAATAACTAATCGGATTGTTAATCACTGTACTTATCACCTAATGCTTGTATACTTAATCACATAAACATCCAGATGATGATCATCTCACGTTAGCTATAAACAGTAACTTTTAGCTAGCTAGTATATGTGTGTAAGGAAAGCGACATAAAACTTACATATACAATACATATACCTCCCACTACCATATATGTACATACGCACATCCACATCAAACTTACATACATACATACATCCACATCAAACTTACATACATACACCACATCAAACTTACATACATACATACATCCACATCAAACTTATATACATACATACACATACACACACGTACCTCCCACTACCGTATACGTACATACGTACATCCTTATACGTACCCACACATTTACACAGCATCCACGAGTCAGCTACGTAACTAAGCCACCTCTATAGACCTAACATTAGGAGGCTTTTCCTCCTCAGCAAGCTTAGGGATGGTGACTGTAAGCACGCCGTTGTCCATGCTGCACCTGGTCTCCTCCATCCTCGCATTTTCCGGCAGCCTGAACTTCCTATGGAAGCTCCCCGTCCTCCTCTCGATGCGGTGCCAGGTGTCTCCGGCGTCCTCCTCCTCCTTGGCCTTCTCCCCACTTATGCTCAGCACGTTCCCGTCCTCCACTTGCACCTTCACCTCCTCTTTTCTCACCCCTACGTACCCCAACGAAAACAAATAGAACATGCATGGGTTAATATTTTATACTCCCGCCAAAAGGATTATTTATCATGTTATTTAAAAAGGATTTTTTTTTTTAAATTTCTCCATATATTTTCACCAAGTCATAGATATTTAATCATCAACTATAGCTAATTAATATTAATTTTACTTCTTGAAAATGATTTATTTGCCAAAATAACTAGATCGTAGTTAATTAATAAAAAGAATTCTGATATTACAATATTAATTTTTTTTCCCTTATGTTATGTTCAATTTATAACATTTCAAATCAAGTATTGATAATATGCCAACAATAGTAAGACTACTTTTTAATCTAACAAAATATATAAGTCAATCAACTGTTAAAAGTGTTCCTTGTTTTCATTTAAAAAAGGTTTTAGTTTTTATTTTTATTTAGGGTCATAGGTAAAGGTAGAATATGGTTACAAATTTAGAGATAAAACAAGAATCGCTAAAATTAAAACAATGATTTTTTTAAACTATAAAGCCTACGTATATTAAAAGAAACAAAAAAGTGTCTTTTAATTTACTAGAAACCACTTTTAAAAATAAGATAATTGCACCAAAGCGTACATATATTTAAAAAAAGTGCCTTTTTACTAGAAAGCACGTTTAAAATAAGATAGTTATACAAAAGCAACCTTTTAATTTCAATTTACATATAAATTATTTTTAAATTATTTTTAAAATGAATCTTTTAGCAATCAACCACCTCCCAATCAAATTTTTTTCCCCTAAAAATTAAAAATTACTCCTAAAAAATTCACTTTTTAAAGCAAGGTGACAATTACCCTAAAAAACTAACTTCCAGGGCGTGTGACTCAGTTCATTAATGTTTAGCCCATTTAAAGCATATGCGACTGTTTTATCAATGTTTGGGTCTTGTTAAGAAAGAAATTTTGTATCTTAAACTCTAAATTTTTTGAACTTGTTTTTTTTTAAATTTTTTAGCCAAATTTTAACTAGATTCAACCACGTTAGAAATAGTTTATATATAAATTAAAATTAAAAGATGCTTTCGACGTGACCGATACAGTTACTTTTTTATAGCGGAGAGAATCCAAATCCATTTTTAAGACGGGTTTCGAAAAAACCCAAGCGAAAACCAAAGAGAAGTAAGAAGTGGTGAGTGTAAAGCGCCCGCCTGGGAGCTCAGCAACGAAGATGTGGGCGGTGTTCGTCTCGCGCCAATCAACGCGGGCGTCCGCCAGAGCAGCGGTGCCGTCGCCGTTACCGCGCCTTCTCCTACCGGCTGTGCCCCACAACAGGTTGGCGCCACCTCCCCAGAATGGGTCCCACGGGTCATCTGACAAGAACGGGTCGGTCCAGTCTGTCCAAGACCCGGCCCATGGGATCAGAGAGGTCGACGCTCCTCGTCTCTCCTTTTTCCCCATTGTTTTTTTTATCCGATTTTGGAATATTGCATGTGGCCCATTGGGCTTTTTATAGAGCGAACGAGAGAGAGAGAGAGAGAGCTGCAGCCTGACACGCGGTGGTGTACGTGCGAGTATCTGGGGCACGTGGCACCGTGGCGAGAGACGTGCCAGTGGCACGTCGCAGTGATGAGTTGTTCGGAACAGGACATAAAACTCGATGGCGAGCTCTGCGTTCGCCTGCCCCCTGAACTCTGCGTTCTTTGGCGAACCCGACCTTTGCGTCTGGGTTATTTGCTGGCGATAGGCTGTCGCCAGCTCCTCATCTCCGCTTATATAAACCCCCTCACCTAGGGTTTCGAAGATGCTGATTCTTCCCCCTCCCCTCCGATTCTTTCTCTCTGGCGGCGGCGGCGAACTGCCCTAAAACGCAGCAGCGTTTTCCCCAAATCGCAGTAGCGATTTCGATTTTTCTCCAGCTCTCAAAGGGGTGTTTTTGAGGGGAGATTAAAAGAGAGATTAAGAGAGAGAGAGAGAGAGAGAATTAAAGAGGATTTTGATTGTGGGGTATTTATTCTCAAGTGGGTATTGAAAGGGTTCATACCCTGTTATTATTAACACTGTAGCTACAGTGTTTATTTGAGAAATCCCAGTTTAGGGATCTGCTCCTAAAATTGTAATTTCTTATTGGATTAATAAGAAATTTACTGTGTGGCTCCCGAGGACGTAGGCAGTTGCCGAACCTCGTAAATCTTGGTGTACTGTTCTCTATACCGCGTTTCCGTTGCATTAGGGGATTTAGGCGTTAAATTCCCAACAATAACTCCTACTGACCCCTTTATAAAATTTCACTTGTTTGTTTGCACTTTCAACCACATAGTAAACTGCCGATTTGTCGTACCAAATACTGACGTGTCACGGTAGAGCCAAATCACTTCAAAATCACCCGATTTGGTGAGAAAGCTGACATTTTGTCAGAAATAATTAAAGGAGAAAAACAAAAAAAAGAAGAAGAAGAAATAATCTCCCAGAAAGCTTACGGCTATTACCTCTCCCCTTCCTCTCTCTTTCTTCTTCCTCTTTTTTCCTCTCGTCCTAATACATAATGTTCTGCAGTCCAAAAAATATTAATAATAATAAAGATGGCCTCCTTCTCCTTCCCTCATCCTCTTACACCCATTGAAACCTCCAACGGAGTTAGGGTAGTGAAAGGGAAACTCAAACCCGAATCTCCTCTTCCTCTCTCACTCCATCTTGACACTCTGCAGAAAATGAGAAACGAAAATTAGGATTTTGAAGGATTATTGTCGAAGCTCGTAAGCATCATGAATCAAACCTCTCACACTTGCTTCTTTTTGGATTTTACCTTGTTCCCTTCACCGATATGTTTAATTGGGAATTGGATGGTCAAATCCTTGATAACAATCCCTGAGTTGAAATCATTTGGTGCAACATAGTTTTTACCTTGTCCAAGTTGAAAATTGAAAGAGATGATGATGGTTGTGGTGAGGGTGATGACAAAGAAGATGGATGGAGAGTCTAACTTAATTTTTACCAAGTATAACATGGGAAGCTAATCAAGTTTTGCTCAATTTGAGATAAATATGTAAATTTTAGCTTGGTAGGGTTGAATTTTTATCCTCTACATTGATCTCACATTATGGATTAGCTTATCATAACTTTTGGGAACTCGCCCTAAGGATTGGGAGCGCTTATTGAAATTTATCTTAAATAAGTCAAATATGTAAATTAAATCTATACCACTTATAAAAGAGAATACCCATGTCAAAACTTTTGATTTCTTTTTTTACCCTCTTAATTTTTTTTATAACTCACAATTATACCATTATGTATAAAACTAATGATCCATAACCTCTCATTAACTATGCACCTCTTCATTTTCTCAAATTATTTCGTCATTCATTAGAGAATATTAATAATTTATAATGATAACAAAATTCATAAATATATGATATTTTATTATAAAGAATTATTAATTATATAAAATAGAAAATTTATTTATTTAATATATTATTGTACATAAATATAATTACTAATAATAGTATAAATAGGGTTATATCTTTTTATTATAAACTATATTTCCTTGTTTTGATAATTAATATCATCTTAGTAATAAAAAATTGGACATTATAAAGTAAAAAAAATTATGTGTGAAAATTAATTTATATAAAAATATTTGGATCCTTGAAATTTATGAGACATATACTTTCCTCTTCCTTTTCCCAAAAATATTAGGTCATTCACTAGAATATATTAATAATTTATTACGATAATAAAATTAATAAATATATTACAATTCATTATAAAGAATTATTAATTATAATGAAATAGTAAAATTATTTATTTAATATATTATTATACATAATTATAACTATTAATAATAGAATAAATAAGGATTGATTCTTTATACGGTAAGCACAGACCTTTTTCAACATTATAACATCATCTTAGTAATACAAATTAGACATTATAAATTAAAAACACTTTTATTTAGGAAACTTACTTTATATAAAAATATTATATCCTTAGAATTTATGAGACATGCACTTATTGTTCAAAAGTAAATGTCTCATAAATTTCAAGGATCTAATAATTTTATATAAAATATTTTCCCTTAATAATAGCAATTTTAATTTATACCGTCTAATTTTTTATTGTTTTAGATGATATTAATTATCAAACAAGGTAATATTATTTACAGCATAAAGTCATATAATATTAAAAATTATTTCCATTATTTAATAGAAAATGTAATAATATATTTACATAACATAATATTTAATAATATAAATGGTTTAATTATTTCGATAGTGTTACTTTTTATGTCACTATTTCAACAGTGTTACTTAAACTAATAGTTGCATTATTATTTAATAATTATACTCTAAAATAAATTGTTTAATAACACAAGCAAATTTAAATAACTATTAAATGTATGTTAATAATAGTATAAGTACTAATAATAGAATAACTTAAATTTTTTATTCATAGTGTAACAAAATAACTTTGTTAAATCTTTATATATAATTTATTTTATAATAGTATAAGTTATTTTCTACATTGTTTCCTTAGGATTAAAACTATTTTAACATGTAAAATAAATATTTTAACTACTATATGATCTATTTATAGAGGTAATCTTACCTATGCTAGCATGATCCATTTGAGTGAGGTCCACATAACTATCAGTTTACATAGTTTCGTTACACACACCAAACAACAACTTTATTTCCATTTCATGATTCTAATCGATTCTAAACCAAACCAAGAAAAAAGTAAAAATAAAAATGATAAGATGGACAAGAACTTTCTAATTTGTGTCATAAATACATAAGTTTACAAACAACAACCAAATAGGCCTTAACTAACTGGTAATGGCTTTTTTTATTATAAGTCTCCCAACTGTTTCATATTTATAAATTACCCTTCAAATGGGTATTGCTAATCGTCATTAAGGCTCTTTAAGTGGATAAAAGGATTGTCCTTTAATTGTTGATTGGACTTAATGTTCTAATTTAATAAAGTAACATTCACCTATGTGAAGGGGGTAAAAGCCTATAAAGGCAAATTAGTCTCTGTCTTTTTTATTATGTCAACATCCAATTAGTTAAATATTGGTTGTTTTTTCAAGGTTTAAACCTTCTCTATTTGTTGAAGGTGAGGTTGTCCGTGATGAACAAAAACTAAAATTTCTCGCCTTTGGTGGAAAATCAAGATCAAGCTTTCCATCGCCTGACCTGATAATCTTCTTGAATAATATTCTTCTTAAATAGTATTAGGGACTTTTGCCTTTAAACCTAAAGTGTTACCTATTTATTTATAAACCTAGCTAGTAACATCTATACTTTTAAACCCAAAAAACTTTTGATATTTATCTTTAAATGCCAGCATAGTGGTGTGTATACTAGTATATATATATATATAATATATATAATTACCTTACTAGTTATAATATTATTATTAATCCATATTTTGTTCGTCGCGCGACGCAGAGGCGGACAAAACAATCTACGGGGCGTGTCCCTTTCAGACACCAAGATCAAACGCCAAACGGGTTTCGAGATAAATGCGCCAAAACAACCAAATAACGGCACAAACTCCAAACACAATAGTTTTAACGTGGTTCCGGCAATTGCCCTAACGTCCACGGGGTGCAAGAAGGCGGATGGAGCGTTTTTACTAATCAGTGGAAAGGAGTATCAAACTCGAGATTACAAATCACTCGAAGGAACAAACTAATCTCACCAACAAGCTCTTAATCTCTCCAAACAAAACCCTAAACAAATTGCTAAGAAAATACCTCTTTTCTGTGCTCCAAATATCCCTAATTTTCTTCTCCAAATTCTCTCTTCCAATTGTTCCATATATATAGAAATCCTAAAATCATAAACATACTAGGAATTCTAAACCAAAAGCCAAATCAAATTAGAAATCCTAATAACCTATTACCAAAATGGAATTCTAAACCAAAAGCCAAATCAAATTAGAAATCCTAATAACCTATTACCAAAATAGATTAGGAATTCTAATAACCTCATGTTACCAAAATAGATTAGGAATTCTAATAACCTCATATTACAAAAATAGATTAGGAATCCGCTATCAACAATTCTCCACATCGGCGAAGTTTTCCCAAACTGAGCCGACACCAATACCAACCAAACGTCTCACTTATTGCGTCCCGTACGAAGTAGAACAAATCCACGACAACAGACTCAATCCACAATAAGTCGAGAACCCAAATAAGAATGCGAACAAACTCCAATTGTCGGTACCAACTCACCAAACCGGCTGCATTATAAAGATTGCCTACGTATCCTCTTGCCCAAGGAATCAAGCATTCACGTAGTTCACCCAAACGGCCTCCAAAGGCTCTCAATCAAATATAAAAGTCTGTAACTCTTCACCAATATCATCAGCATCCAAAACCAAATAATCCCCAATCTGTGTCACCTTAGGTGGAATCCCAAACGATGCAGTATGATCTAGAGTATGTGTAG